CTTAATATGTAAGCAGTAGGCTACCTGTTTGACAAGGGTAGATTGGTTTTATTTGTTCCACTGCTCTTAATTCCTACATGTTTGCCCAGCAAATGCGGTTCTGATGGGAAACACTATGTGGGGGGCAGAGGAATGCTAGCTGATATGTGTGGAGACATTTTTCATTGTCTGTTCATTGTCACACGGATGTTCAAGGTTCTTGATCTTTGTTTCAGGTATCACTCGTAACAATTTGCATAAACGTCGAAAGACTGGGGGGAAACGCCCTGTCACCAGAAAGAAGAGGAAGTATGAGTTGGGACGGCCTGCATCTAACACCAAGGTTAGTGTGGGCCTGGTGTGATGTGGGGTTTGAAATGCAGTGTACTTGAACCAGTTCAGTGGAACTTCCTTAACCTGAATGAAATATTTGTCTGTAAGTCATGTGGAAAGACAAAATTCAAGTTTGTTGCACTAGGGTTCCCTTCATCACATATCCTGCTTAAGGGCAGTGACAAGTTCACTTGCTATTGACTTTATTTGTGATGAGCAACATCAAAGATCTTGATAAGGGTTTTGTTGTAGCAGTATTGTTTGTGAATGTTGGGGAAGCAACAGTAATCAAGTGGCAAGGGATGATTTTGAAGTGGCATATTGTGTGGAAACATCCTGCTTCTTCCTGCCACAGTTTGCATGCTGTGGATCACAGCTATGTAAAGCTTTTTCACTGTTCACTGTTCCCTTAGAATGTAATTGTAATTGGTTCCCATTGTGAACTCCAGGGAAGGAATGTGTTGCTTTTCGGAGTTTTAAAATTTAGTCTGTATCATTGCTTCTTCTTTTCTAGCTGGGTGCAAAGCGCATCCACACGGTGCGCACACGCGGTGGCAACGTGAAATATCGGGCCTTGCGCCTGGACCACGGCAACTTTGCCTGGGGCTCCGAATCATGCACCCGCAAGACCCGCATCATTGACTGTGTCTACAACTGCACAAACAATGAGCTGGTGCGCACCAAGACCCTGGTGAAGGGCACCATCATCATGGTGGATGCGGGACCCTTCCGTCAGTGGTACGAGTCACACTACGCACTTCCTCTCGGCCGGAAAAAGGGCCAGAAGTTGGTGAGTACTCCGTCGTTAGTATTGACACCACCTTGGGTCATTCTGCTTGTGTTGATGTTTTCATTGTGGTAGATTGTTTGATGGCTGCCATGCTGTTGCCATGTCACAATGTAATGCCACAAATGGGGCAGTGGTAAGTTGCCAAAAGTCTGTACAGGGCAGCCCATTTCATACCTGGCCATGCAACAAGGCTGTCATGCTAAGACATTTTATTTCTTGGAAACCTAGCTTGCACCCATATTGAGCTCTGGGTAGCTCTTTTATTTGCTGTTTTCCAAGACAATAGATCTTGCAGGCAGATCAAGATCAAGAGATCTTGTCACGGCTTATGTGTTTGTAACTGGCTCAATATTGAACCCCACTAGGGGAGGTCAAGAGCTGATTTTGCCCTGAAAATTGGAAAATGTTTCATCTCTTCATGCAGTCATTTACTAAACCACACCATATAAAAGTGTGAAGTTGACACAAATCCCTGACACAGGCCCATGTCCAATTTTAAACATTGATATATCAGTATACACACTGACCACATCATTGGTCTGGGCTTTTGTGTTCTGAACATATCTGCCATCCAAAGGCAAAAAGGCCAAAGGGTTCATGTAACATTTAAGCCCTTTTAACTTTGGATGGGATACTTGAGGGTGTAGGACTCCGCTGATAAAGCGATGTAGTCCCCGCCGCTTGTCATCGCACACTCGTCTATTGCGGAACGTCGCTCACGTAGTCTGTCCTTTGCCATCGCAGCACATCACCTTGTAGTTTTGATACGAAAACATTGTTATTCAGTAAGTAGAGATGTTAGACATATGTTTGTAGAATCAACATGTATCATGAATTCTCAGAGGAGTTGAAAATATGGGTGCAGGTGTGTATCATGCTGAAGAAATGTCAGGACAAATTTAGGGAGTGACGTCGCCCATTCCCTCTCCCCCCCCCCCCCCTCCCATATTCTTCAGAGGGAGGGTTAAATATCGTAGCCCACATCAAGTGGATTATTTGCGCGAATAATCAACATATTAAAACTTCGATGTCCCGCCGCTATCAGACTCCTGAGGAGGATGCTGTCCTGAACGCCAAGCGGTCGGCGAAGACTGAGAAGAAGTACCAGGAGCGGCAGAAGGCTGGCAAGGTAGACCCGTCGCTGGAGGAGCAGTTCCACACGGGCCGCCTGTACGCCCGCATCGCCAGCCGGCCCGGACAGTGCGGCCGCTGCGACGGTTACATCCTGGAGGGACGGGAGCTCGAGTTCTACTCCAAGAAAGTGCGGGCCCGAAAGTAGAACCTGTCAGCGACAACGGAAAAAATATACCTGGAAATGGGCGATTCAGAGTCGTTTCATTGATATATACATCTGGGTTTGGGATGGGACACTTTGAAAAGAGGGTACCGTGGCCTAAGGTGAGATAATTGTTTCGACGCCTGTATTCTGGAGAAGCTAGCCTGTGTGTAGGAAAACTGGTGAGCTCACTGTTGGAAATGATGTCAATTTTTGTTACATGAATTTCACGGCCTATGTTCCCTTGAGTACCAATTATTATTATGCTATGGCCATGTGTGGCGGTTCCTGTGTCGCGATGGCGTGGATTACTTTGGCTCCAATCCTGCGTTCACCTTGTAGTTTGGAGCCTTTTTTAGATAACTAAAGTGCTCGCCTTTGCCACGGATGTTGGCGTGAGCATGGTGTATAGCCGTTCCACGGTGATAATGCATGGATGAACATATGCTCTGCAACTGATAATTTGGCCAACATTGCAAGGCGCCTGGCTTTCGGACACCATTGTCCACGAATTGGATGCATACCGAAGTAGGAGAGGTCCCAGGGAAACAGTGTGGTAGATCACCATGCTCTGTTGTGAGCGTGGTGGATGTGTGCTGGTGCCGGCTGTCTGTTTCACCAGGTGGAGTGGGTGGAGCGGCCGTGCGTCCTCGGTGTCGAGTTCTGCGAAGGTCGTGGCTGGTCCTTCGATGGCTGCTCTACTCAGCATTCAAATGGTGAGCAAGGGTTTAGGATGCTAACTGCTTCAGCTATTGTGAAATGATGCTTTCATGTGTGCCAACTGATTCTAATGACTCCCAGACATCTCAACTGACTTGTGTCAGAGAAAATGCCATCTGATCATGTTGTTTCAAGCAAATTGGTTTCCTTGGCTTCTGAGCTGCCTTGGCCCCAGTGATCCATGCATTGAATGTGTTCATATAATTTGATTTTTTATGTTTGTCTCACTTATTTGTGTGCATGGCATGTCCAAATCGGACCATTCAGAATGAAGACATTGTCCAAATTTTCCATTCAATAAATGGGTTGTTACAATTGTCATGGCACAACAGGAACAGCCTCAACATGAGCAGTATGGCACATTTGTACTCTGCCTGGTGTGCCACAACCAACAATTTGCAATTGTTTGTGCTGGAGTGGGGGGGGGGGGGGGGTTGAAACTGCTTATTGTCGTTCTCACGGTTCGCCGATTCCCAGTGACATACCGTACCCATCTGCAACGTGTTTAGCCCACGCAAAGGTTCTTAAGTACTGTGCGTTTGGTTTCAGACGTCCCTTGGCGCGATTGCGGCATATTTTCGTGTGATCGCCGAACCTGAACGGAATCTACGGCCGCATACCATTGAAGGCAAGCATACCGAGCTAGAACGTATTTTTGTGAGCCGTTTGCGTGGTTATCTTGTATCTATCTTGACGTATCTCCGAAGCTCTGCGTGCAAAGACAAAACCACATGTCCCTATGTCAACATTGGAAAACGACGTGCACCATGGTGTCTTGAAGTGGGACGTATCTATTCCTCCCATTGTACCAGATGTATTGTTTTCCCCTCAGAAAAGCTGATGTGGCTTTATTTTGTATGTAGGCTGTTTCACCATCAGCCGCTGGCATGCCTTCGAACCGTTAGTTTGCGTGCGAACTGCAATAGTGCTCTTGTAAATGATGCTTTCATGCGTGTCATCTGATTTCCGATGATCGACGCCTAACATAAACTGACCTGAACTAGCTTCACTTTTGTCAACTATTTTTTCGAACTTCTGACAATCATTTGTTTGCAGGCACTGCCTCCGGGAATCGCGAAAGTTCGATGACGCTGTCTTACGGGAGGGAGGTGACAGAGTAAGTTGACTTTGCTTTCATTGGTGTGAAGTGTTTGGCCGGCCGATTTTTACGGGCTTATCAACAATACCCTGGTCAAGCTACATGTCTGAGAAACCGGAGAGCCCCGTGGCGCCCGCCCCTTGTGCCGGCATGAGAGGCAAGCAACACCACATAGCCTCAGAAACTGAGTGCGTTGTAAGGCCCCAATGACGACGACGCCGGAGAATGTCCAAGATGTATTCATGGATGACGTTTCCATGCGTGTCATCTGGCATCGGCGATCGGTCCATAAGATTTCACGAGCGAAAAGACTGGATATCAAGAGTACGAGCCTGCCTGCATTCTGGTTTAGCCCACCCATTGGCCTCTAAGGGCTTCGTGTGAAGCCCCATGTGCAAAGACAAAACCACATGCCACAATGCCGGACAATGCAGAAACGCGCACAACACGGTTTCTCGAACTGCGACACGTACGTGTTTGTCCCATTGAACCAAACGTAGCGTTTTCGTGCGGTGAGGGATAACGTGGCCTTTGTTTTGTGTGCAGAACCGGACAGTGTACGTGTAAATGATGCTTTCATGCGTGTCATCTGATTTCCGATGATCGATATCAAAATATAAACTGACTGGAACTCCCCTGGTGACTCAAGAGAACCATTTCTTCAAAACACTGACACAACCATTTATACTTAGGTGTTGCACCCAGGAATTGGACAACATCAATGATCCTGCTCTTTAGGAGAGAAGTGATGGTGAGTGGACGCAGTTTAAATGTTTGGTGTACTGTATGACTGCGTGCTTTTGATGTAGTCATGGCAAACGCCCAACATTACTCATGATGTTTTCATGCGTGTCATCTGACATCAGTGATCGACTCATTCAATTTTGCTGATGAAAGAGACGTCTGTGGAGATGCCCGTGGTTAGTCAGGATACCCACAAGACTCTGTTTTCAGCACCGGCTTGTGGAGAGGGGAATCCTCGATAGAGCTCCTGTGATGGGAACCTGCAGCTTATTCAGGTATTAGGAGTGTTCTGGGTTAATTGGTGTAGTGTGGCTATTCTGCAAAATCCGTCATTTGTGTTGTCTTTGTCTCCTCTTTTTTCGGAATGGTGCGGTGCATTGCTGTGACGCATTTTGTTGCAATTGCAATTTGGATAGTGTGACTTAGCAGCTAGCAATCATGCATGGATGTCGATAGTGCAGTGGTTATCATGCCTGTGTTACCAATCGTGTGGGAAACCAGAGGTACAGGGCTTGATGCCCAGCGGTTCCCGCCCTTCGTGCTAGGATAATAGACGGGCAACTCGTAATAGCCCATACAGCCGTGTGCGTCGTAAAGCCCACAATTATTCATGATGAAATGTTTGTAACCATCTTTCGGGGCTGACACCTGATGGATTTTTTCTACTCTGAGCTGTTTATTGGTTTGCCGCAATTGCTGCCAGTCCCCATGTAGTTAGTTGTTCTTTCGTTTTTGCAGGTGTGGAGGACCACGGGATAGAGCAGAACTGTCAAACCAAGGTTGGTACTGAGGTGAATGTCGCTGTTGTACCAGGTGTTGATGGCATGTCGATGTTTGTTATGCTTCCGCTGTGTGCTTTTTGGATTATCTTTGTTTTTCAACTGGGTCAGTGTACTTTTGTTTGGATTGTTACATGCTCAGGAAAGTTTGTACTGCTCCCTGAGGCTAGGTTTTCTACCTGCTGACTTCTAGTGGTCTAGCCCTTTCCCCCCCCCCCCCCCCCTAGTAAAATTGTGATAGGTTAGCAGTGCATGACATTGTTTGCGCGGTCCACAAGCTTGATGTAGGTGTTGATATTCAGCCTTACTGTCACAATGATGAAACCTTTTTACCATCTTTCGGGGCTGATACCTGATGGATAAATACCTGTCTGAGGTGTTGACAATTCCTCATGTCCTGTTTGCTTTTCTTCAATTCACGGGATTTCTCATTTCAGTACCTTGGCAGAAGTGATACACGTTGGACAGGCACCACGCACATAGTAAGGTATGTGTGTTTGAATGCTCCAAATTATTCGTGGCGGAGGTGGCGCGGAAACGCTCCTCTGTTTGCTAAATGCTGGAAGTCCTTTTTTAACATGTAATGCAACTGATTGGTGTCCAGTCGTATCCATGCCTTCTAGATGTTCTGTTCCCTAGTTATTTGACCCCGGTGCGTTTGTTTAAACGTGATGATTCTCTTTACCATCTTTCGGCTGACTGAATGATGTACCCATATTGTCCTGACGCCCCCTTTTCTTCTCCAGTGTTGTGATGGATTTGAAAATACTGATCATGCACTGCCTCCCGCAGATCGATGTTCTGTCGGTTCTGGATCCTCAACCGTAGTAAAGGTGAGCCAACATCACGCGCGCCTTCCCAGAGGCAGTGGCTTGTTGAATTTTGTTTTTTGTTTGTCCAGCAACTGTCCTCCGGTTGCCAAAAAAGATCATGGTATGTTCCGTTTGGGGGCATTCCACACTTAAACCTGGTAACACGTTCTCGAGGCATGTCATAGATGATGTCAAATCAATTACCATCTTTCGGCTGATCAACAGTGATGGATCAATCTTTGTCTGACGTAATAGTCTTGTCACCCTCAGACACTTACCATATGTGGTAGTAACTCGGTGGTATTTCAGGCTCAACCAGACGCTTAGCAACTTAAGTTCCTGCGGCTGTGCTCTACAAGGTGAGTGAAGATGGTACCGGACGGGTTCGCGTCTAAATGATCACAATATTTCGGTTATTCATGTCCTGCTCCGATTCGACATATGCTGCAAAGAACGTGTGGGTCGATAGTCTGCGTACTGTATCGAAAGGGGTGCCAAATGAGCCAAACGATTTTGTTACTGCATCAAGTGTCGTGATTTTCGTCGTGATCCTTGCAGCGTTACCAACGCGTGACTGAAATGCTGCGAGTTTATTAACCACCTTTCGTCTGGTCACCAGTGACAGACCAATTCCGCTTTGAAGTCCTCATTGCGTTCCCCGCAGTTGTTCAGCATATCGGGGTATTTACGCTTGATGGTATTTCAGTAACCGGCTCCGACGTGCTGAACATCGACAGCTGCTCGTCGACCTTCGGTCAGTAAGTGGGACGGAGCACTCTTGGCTAGCATATTAACATATGCATTTAACGGCGAGTATATGTACATGATGATCACAAATCCCTGATTCCGCATATGCCGTTCTGGCTGTCGTCGGGATTTCATGAGGGTCTTTTCATAGTTACTCTGATTCTTAGTAAACAGCTGCATCCAGGCGTTAATGTGACAGGTGCCCTAATCGTCCGCCTGTCTGCTCTAGGGTTTAGACGGCGATGGCGAGGCGCATCGATACGGCACAACGGCGCGAAGCCTGGTGGTACCGCAGTGGTGCTGGTACTGGTACTGCAGTGGTCGTCAGGTCCCGGTTCGTGTGCGGACTTGGCCTCGAGTTCCGACCGAGGACCCAACGCATGCTGACGTCCTCGCATTGCGTTCATCCAGCGTGCTTAGGCTTGACATGCGCGCACGGGATACAACGCATACCGCATGCTGTCTTTTCTGTGGTGTAGCGCAAACTGATAATTCCGCGCGGCCGCTGTTTTCTTTGTCCGCGGTGCTCGCTTTATTTGAATTTCCTGAATACACGGCCGCAGACATCGGGCGGTATTTCATGTCTGAAACGGAAACTCGGCAGGCAGGTGCGCTTGGCGGTGAGCGCCCACAAGCGTACGAGAGTAGCCGACACGGATTGGTTACATCGGTATCGGGCTGTCGTCGGTAGTTGTCCCAAGGGGATTTTTCCTCGAAAAGTGCGGAAGGGGGCGTGCCTTTTCCCTCCGCACATGACGGGCCTTGGGTTGCCGCGGTTTTCATGTGGCAAGCTGGGGAGGCACAGGTCTGGTCGCTGTTGTGGCCCCTTCAGGCCGAAAAACATCTTGGTAAACTACCTTCCCTAGCCGGAAGAATGGGCGACTAGAAACCAGTTCAGAGATTTGATGCCGGTGGTAAGGGCACTCCAGCTCCATATAAATATGAACTTTTGCTAAGTGTATATACCGCTAAAGCCCAATCCGTCCAAGACGACCATATTGCGTCATTGTTCCCTTTCTGACCAGAATCTGGCGTCGCTGTGGTTGTGCTCCTAGCACGTGAGGCGCACGCGTGCTGGGCGTGAAATGGCCTGGGTCGGGGCACCCCCGAAATGCCATCCATCATGCCGGCGCGCTCCGCGAGGAGTCTAGTTTACGGTAGCAGCCACGCTCGTCTGATGAGGCGTGTGAAGCGCGGCTACCCTCTGTATCATGCGATCTGAACTCCCGCGATTGTGGCGCATGCAACCTCACTATAACGAAGAAGTGAAATAGGCCTTAAGTTCAGTATATATATATATATATATATATATATATATATATATATATATATATATATATATGTATATATATATATATATATATATATATATATATATATATATATATATATATATATGTATATATATATATATATATATATGTATATATATATATATATATATATATATATATATGTATATATATATATATATATATATATATGTATATATATATATATATATATATATATATATATATATATATATATATATATGGTTTCGGTGGATCTCAGTAGAGTATTCCAGGCACCACGCATCAGTGTGTGTTACGCGAAAACATTGCCCGCCGAAACCGAAAGCTGTGAATCTCGTGAAGCTAGCCGTGGACCCAGTGGACTGCGGACCCCGCAACTCCCGGCAATGGAATACGTCGCGGCCAGACGGCTCGTATATCGGAACTCTCCCGGGTGTGCGGTCCCTCATTCGCTAGCCAGCGTGGCAGTGGAAACCAAACAGAATTTGCTTTTTGTTATCACATTTCTGGATTCGCGCGGTGGTGCCGTGCGTTTGTGCCCATTCAGTGAACGATAATTCAGACTCGGAGTTCTGCCGGTACAATGATGATTTAGGTGTTAGTGCACATGCGTTGGGAATTGGTAACGCAACAACGGTGTGCCAAGCGATGAAACGATGCATCTTTTGGGCGTAGGTTAGCAACTCTTGCTCCGTCACAGAACAGCTTACTTTGAATGATGATGTCTGATGCACGTCTGCTCAGGTGCAGTTGAACTTTCAGGTGTCGGCTATGTTCAGCCGTGAGCGTTGCGAGAACTGCGTTAAGCGCAGCCTTCTAACCTGCTGGATCCTGCTCATCATCACGGACGTTGTATACCTGGGCATCGCCAGCGCCAGCCTGGCCTACTTCGGCGCCTTCAAGCACATCAGCTTCGTCTACTACCGACGCATCAATACCGAAACGCTGGTGGTGGCCGCGCTGGGTAGTGTGACGGGCGTATTCGGCGCTTTCGGCACGGTGCGCGTGTTCCGGCGCGTCGTGTTCGGCGCCATGCTCTCGCTGCTGTCAATGTTCGTACTGCTAGTAGTCGCCGCAATCAGCCTGCGTCAAATGGAGAACCCATTCGCCAAGTACGACACGTCCGTGGCCACATCCGAGGTGATGACCACCGAGATTTCTGAGTACGTTGAGTATGGCGGGCTGTCACCCGGTGCCAACCGTTCGGACGCCCAGCCGACGGGCCTGCTGCACTTCATGAACGTTGGCCAACGCATCTTCCAATGCTGCGGCAAGGTCTCCTACATGGATTACCGGCATGCGCTGGTGCCACGGAGCTGCTGCAAGGACACGAGCCGCTGCTCGCGACAGCAGCGCCTCCCTGACGACAACGCGTTCGACCGGCGGGTCATCTACACCACCGGCTGCCTGTACAACATGTACCAGTGGGCACTGCTTGTGACGCTGGCTGGCCTCAACCTGGGCGCCTTCTGTGTGGTCGCCTCTGGCTGCTTGTTGCTCGGCGGCATGCTGTTATACCTGTTCCGGCACAAGGAGGACGCGGTGTGCTCGGCACGCTCCACACGCACCGCCGGCAGCCTCTCGCAACGCTCCGCGGCCAACGTCAGCATGGTGCTCATCGTAGTGGACGATCGCGATGCGGAGCAGGCGCCGCCCGCCGCCGACGGGTCGAGCCGAGTCTTCTGAATCGAGTCAGGCGCAATGTGTACAGCTTACAGCATGCGAAAAACAATACAGAAGCCGCAATACATGTCAACAAAAGTTGGTGTGTATTGTGTGATATGGTTAAACGGCTGCCTTGGGGCACGCATGTTGTGAAAAGGCGGTGTCTCGAAAAAATTATTTCGGCTTTGGACGGGGGAGCACGCGGGTGCAATTCGTAGATGCGATGCGATTCAGCTGTCCAGCACACGGGATGCGAATTTCTGTCAAGTCTATGACGACGATGGATGTGACCGCTAGAACCCACTTCCCTATCTTGTACTGGCTGTTCCCGCTGTCCATTGTTACCGGCCTCTTGCTGCTTGAGTGCTGCGTGACGTATGCTCGTGCACTTATAAAGCTATATGTGCATGATGCCTCCTATCTATGCGCATTTCTGACCTCTTACCCTGGTCTCTGATAAAATAGAGTCAGGAGCATAGAAGCTAAAACTGCTTGACTTTGAAGAACAGATCAGACACTCCTGATCAGACGCTCCTGGGCCGATCCAGAGGGGGGGGGGGGGCACGAGCCATGACCCCCCTTGGACCCCGCAGGGGCCCGTTGGCTCCGAGGGGGCCATGGCCGGCCAGTTGGGATCCCGATCATCCGCTCGATCGATCGAGATCATCTGATAACCTGTTTGGGTACACTCCATCTTTCTGGGGCTCTCCGCACCGGGTTTCGTGTTCTTCTTATTTGAATGGAGAGCCTTGCGCTCCTGTCGGGGCCTGTTCTGATAAGATGCTCGGGCCCATTCGATCGCGGGGGCCTCTACATACGGTTTTGGGTACTTCCTTTTTGAATGGAGAGCCTTCCGCGCTTTTCGGGGGCCCTGTCTGTTAACCTGCTCTGGCGCACTCGATTACTCGGGGCCCACTACATCGTGTCGTGCTTATTTCATATTTGACCGGAAGGCCGTACGCTCTTGCCGGGGTCCCATCTGTTAACCTGCTCGTGCACACTCGAATATCCGGGGGCAGTCCACGTAGTATCTTGGGCACTTCCTACCTGGGTGGAGGGCCCTATGTACTTATCGGGGACCCTATCTTCTTGCCGCCCCGGCCACACTGAATTGTCGGGGGGCCCTGCACATTGGGCCTTGGTGTTTGAATTCAGGGCACTAGACTCCTATCTGGGCCACCTGATAATCTGCTCGGGTATACTCCATCTTTCGGGGGCCCTCCGCATTGGGTTTCAGGCACTTCTTATTTGAATGGATGGCCCTACGTTCTGCTCGGGCCCCTTCTGATAAGCTGTTCCATTTTATCATTTTGGGGTCATTCACAAGGTCTTCGGTGCTTTCCAATTCGAATGGAGAGCCCTACGCCCTTGTTGGGAGCCCCATTTGTTAACCTGCTCGGGCACACTCGATCATTCGGGGGCGCTGTTCATTGGGTTTTGGGTACTTACTATTTGAATGGAGAGCCCTGCACTCTTGACGGGGACCCTATATATTAACCTGTTCTGACGTACTGGACCATTCGGGGGTGCTCTGCATTGGGTCTTGAATGCTCCCTATTTGAACGAAGGGCCCTACGCTCTTTTTGGGAACCTTATCTGTCAACCTGCTCGGGCACACCCGATCATTTGGGAGCCCTCTTCATTGGGTCTTGGGTACTTCCTTTTTTAATAGAGGGCCCTTCGCCCTTAATGGGGCCCCTATATGTTAACCTGCTGGGGCGCACTCGATCCTTCAGAGCCCTACACATTGTGTCGTATTTCTTTTTTGAATGGATGACCCTATGTTTTTGGCGGGCCCCATCTGTTAAGCTGCTCGGGCCGGTGGTGGATGGAGAGGCAGGGGGAGGGAAGCACGGAACAATGGACCATGCCGAGGGGACCTAAATGCTCCGAAGGGGCCCACAATCGGCCGGACGGACGCAGTTTTCTTACAACAAAAACAACAAAATTGGAAGCCTTCGGCCTACAGACGACCAAGAACGATTGCTAGCAAAAGTTAAGACTTCACAACCAGAGCAAGCTCATTTTTTGCTGATTGAGAAATTGTCGCTTGGGGGAAAATTTCGGACCTCATTGCGCAGTCTAGAGCCATTGCGCTGTTGTTTTCCCGGCCCTTTATGTCCACTTGCCAGGTCAATCTGATCGCTCAAGAGCTTTTCACGTTGCCCTTGATCTCTGCATTTTCTCGTAGGACCCATTGTATTGTTCCGACGCTTTCTGCCTCCATGCCTCAGCACTGTTGATCTATCAATTTTTCCTCCGCGGATTCTTCCCTTTCGCCCGAAATGCTCTTTACGCTTTTTCCGAGCCCCATATGCTAGGATGCACTCAGTTGCTCAGGGGTCCTTCAGTTAAGTCTCGGGCTCTTCCTTTTTGCTTGGAGAGCGTTCTGGTGCTGCTAGGGCCTATATAAGGTAAGGCGCGGAGACACTCGATGCTCAGGGGCCATCTACTTTGATCGAGGGCTCTCTCACTCTGCTCTCATTTGCGGAGGACTCTTCATTCCAACTGAGGCTCGTGTTGTTCAACCGTCCGCGCACTCTTGTTCGCACAGGGGTATTAGCTCATGGTCTTCCCTTATAATTCCCCTTCGCTCGGAGGGTTCTGT